ATACCAAATTAAATAGTGATGGTGCCAAACTATCTCCCTGTTTCAATCCTTGATTTGCGTTAAAGCATTCCGTTAACTGGTTCTGGATTTTAACTTGATTGATTTTTTCTGTCATGGTTAAGTTAATTATTCTACTTAGTTTTGTTGGAATACCAAAGGTGGACATAATCATCCTTAATTTCTTCCTTATTATTGTATCATATGCTTGTTTAAAATCTATGAAGCGTAGGTAAATAGGTAAATATCTGTATTAAATTCCCAGCATTTCTCCATTAGCGTGCTCTATCACAGTTTTTTATTTTATGGTTTCTTGTTATCGCCCACTGAATTAGCCTGGTCCAATATGTTGAAATAGCTGGGTAAATCTGACAGGAGTTGTCCAGTGATTGAGATTAGCTCTTTCTAAGGGGCCCAACTGAATATGTGTCGTCCTTTCTCACCTGAAGATGGAAATAGATCCAGTTTCTGAAACGTCATGTCCTCTATTACCTAAAATTCCGGACGATGGAAAAAGTCCAAACCGCTAGTAATTCTGTCATCCACCATCATCAGGAAACTTTAGAATCTACATCAAAATTGCTCAGCATGAACCAGAGTTAATAATAGAATAATCATTACGTGTTTTTTGATTCAAGGCTGCTCATTTAATATCTCCTTTCTGTTGTCCAAATTCCATTTTCTGGATGTCTTTCTCTTAAGATTAAGGTTCCCATAAACATATTATAAAATTGTCCTGAAAAGATCAAATGGAGATTTTACTCTGCCATCAGTCATGTTTACTAGTGATTACCAGAATTAAATGTAATGAAATTGCAATCAATCAATGTAACTTTATACTCAATTGGAACTGAAGCTAAAAAAAAAAAACAAGACTCAGTTCCTAATGTCACCAAAGACTTTATGTGGGATAGAAACAAGGAAAACAGCAAACATACAAGGTGGTTCAAATATGACCGGGACTGATTTTTTTTAAACCAAAATTGCCAAACACTTACTTGCACATGTCAGTCTTCAACGTACTCCTCTCCGGAGTCAACACATTTTTTCCAACGTTCTGGAAGCATCCTGATGCCCTTTTCAAAAAAGTTTTGTGGTTGGCGGCATATCCACTCCTGAACATTCTAGATGACGGCGTCGTTGTCCACAAACCGCATGCCTTGCAAGTCTGATTTGAGCCTTCCGAACAGGTAGAAATCACTTGGTGCCAAATCGGGACTGTACGGCAGATGTGTCAGAAGTTTCCATTTCAATTTCCAGAGGGTTTCCATTGTTGTTTTGGCCGTATGGGGGCATGCATTGTCTTGAAGGAAGGCTACCCGCTTTGCACCTCTCTTCCGCTTGGATCGGATCTTTTCCTTCACGACTGTTGCCAGGAGGTCTGAGTAATAAGCTGCATTGACTGTTCTGGCATCTGTCAGAAAGTCTACATGGATAATCCCCTGCCAGTCCCAGAAGAATGTTGCCATCACTTTTCCTGCCGAACGGCTCCTTCGCGCTCTCTTGGGTTTGGGAGAACTGGTATGCCGCCAATCGTGTGATGATTGCTGGGACTCGGGAATGAAGTAGTGCACCCACGTTTCATCGGTGGTCACTATAGACTTCAAAAATGCATCACCTTCGTCTTCAAACTGCTGTAGGAGACGACTGGCAACTTGCATGTGCACCATTTTGTTCACATCCGTCAAAGTGCATGGTACCCACCATGCATTCACCTTGCGATAGTGCACGTGGTATTTCATGATGTCTTCTACGTTACAAACACTGATGGACAGCATTGCTTCAAGTTCCTTGATAGTGATGCGCCTATTCTCACGAATAAGTGCATCTGCACAATCAATGTTTGGCTTGGTGACGGATGTTCGCGGCCGACGATCATGCTGTTCATTCTCCATGCACTCTCTGCCCTCTGTGAAGCACTTACACCACTCAAACACACGGGTCCATGAGAGAGACACTTCCCCTACTGTTGTTGGAGTCTGTGGTGAATTTCAGCGGACGGAACGTTTTCTCAAATGAGGAATTTGATCACAATGCGTTGTTCCACGCTCCGCGGTACCTTCTGTTCACTCATCACTCTAGCAACTTCCAGACATGACTGAACAGGTTCTAACCCTAACAGGAGGGAGGATGGAGGTTATGGCTTCACTATCTCAAGGTCGCACAGCTGCTGCGCAGTGTGGCTCGTTTACAAAAAAATCAGTCCCGGTCATATTTGAACCACCTAGTATTTGTATGAAGAGTTCTGTCAAGTCAACCAACGCCTGTCAACTTCCAGCAGGCTGCACAATGTTATATCCCAGAAGATAGAGCTCTTCATGACCACTATTGTGAGAGCCTCAAATCCTACATATTTAAGTTTAATTTATGGTACATAATAAGCTTAACTTTTCTAGGTGTGTAAATTTGAATATCAACACCTACATGTCTCTAATGAAATTAATTATTTATGATTACTAAGCTGAAATTTCTATTATTAAATTAACAAAATAGTGATATATTAGGCATGTGCCAGCAAACCTTTTCAATTTAAGACAAGACTGATATCAGAATTTGGAAAAATTATGAGAATTCAGTTCAGAACAAGAATTTCCTCTAGTGAACCATTTTTTTTTCAGTGTAATAATTATAACACTAGTAACTTTTTCCACAGTACTCTAAAGCATACTCGTACTACTGCATTTACCCAAGTGGCAGATGATTCCAAACATAAGACAGTCCCACACTAGAAAACATGTCTGCATAGAAGAAGTAATTTTATGAGGGAATTTCATACTCTTACTACAAACATGTGAAAGAAAGTAAATATCAGAAAACATGTTATGTGAGACATTTATTTAGTTTCCTTTTGAAGTCACAAGCTTCTGTTCACCTTCACCATTCTCACTCTGTTCACCATGCCTGTCTGTCATCTGTCTGATCTTTGGTGTTATCACAATTGCATCTTAATTCTTACATACACTGCACACACTTTCATGTTCACTGCCAGTATTCCCAACTTCTTCCTCATTCTGCCTTTTATTCATATCATCAGATATGCTGCATGTTTTAAATTTTTTGACTGTCACATCTGGAGAGATCTCTTACCATGACATCTTGATCCACCAGCATAGCAGTTCTACATTGAGCATCTTTGTTGTCAGAACATGATACCTTGCCAAGGAACACTGGGAATATGGTTGCTTCAGATGATCCAGAAGAGGCTTATTCACTAAAACTTGTGTTTGTGAGATCATCCCAGATATAATCATACAGTTAGTATTCTTTCATGAATCATAGACATAACAGCCAGTGTTAAATGACCTTTAAATGCATTCCATTTTTGTTTTTTCATTTAATTTATTTACATCCCACAAAACCATTACAAGGTCATAGGACCCAGGATAAAGACAACAGTCCAATATAACAGAAACAATATATGATGTAAAAAAGTATGTATTCATTATAAATTTGTAATAAAAGATATAATGTAAATATAAAATTTAAAAGTCACTTTTCAGTGCCTGATAATTTAATCTATTCTTCCATATACAATTTGAACGAGGATATTATAAGTACATGATCATTCAACTTACATGTTGATCACATAAGGACAGAGTTTTAAGTGTATCAGAAAATAAAATATATCTTAACAATTTTTCAGTTAACACCATAACAACATGGTAATATAGCAATATAAATATAAAAATCTAAAATATACACTTGATAATATATATCCAGATAACATCAATTATTGAGTTATTTTATCCCTATAATTAAAAATTCATCTATATTATAAAATTAATGGAAATGAAGAAACTGTAATAATGCTGTCCTAAATTGATTTATTCCTGGACAACTGTTTTATATTTGTTGGAAGACTGAAAAAGTTTAATACAACTTTCAACAATTCCTTTGGTTTCCTGTTCCAAACAACTTGTAACCATTTCCCCACCAGGTCATTTAGTGATCCATCTCTTAGTCTGATACCTGATTATTAGTCCTATAGGTGGCTGTCTTAGACACAGTTTTCAAAACCCCATATGGTGATAGTTTCATGCCATCTGCCAACTTGGTCAGCATTACAGTCAAATCTTTTCATTGCCTGATGTTTTTATGACAGTAGATTTTGCATCTACATCAACAATGTTGTAATTAGATGGCATGTTGAAATACACTGGCATTCCATTGACACTGCCTAGAAATGTGATGTTAATTTCTTACAAAGTCGTTCTTCATTACTGTTCCTTCACATATTTGTGCACACCACTCTGTGCTGGACTCAAATTTCTGCTACTTGTTGAGCTTAATGTTGTTCCTTAGAACTGCATTCCATTGTACCTTTGGATGTTTGCCTCAGACACACTGTATTTTCATACTGCTTCACAGTTATTGGTTCCGCACGGTTAATTGCCAAAATCTTAAAGTACAAATCACAAGATCAGCATCTGATGTTTTTGACTTATTCCTTTTTACATTTGTAGCCCTTCCCCCTTTTTTTGTGGGGGGGGGACATGATTTTCCATTCTCATGACAAGGGACACTTGCTTTAGCACAGAATCTTATGATATTCTAAATTTTTTAAGTACTGTGTTTGTTTTCTAACATTGATAGTACTTTGGGCAACCTTATGATGGCTCTTAGCTTATGATGCTTCATCATTTCTATCTTGCTTGCTACTGTCATGGCATGGTAGCGTGAACTTTGTCATGAAGACAGTAAAAGCTTAAAATAGTTTAATACATGTACTATATATTTAGCATTCCTGTTTGTGATGATCTATAGTAGTTCTTTAGCACTTAAAAAGAAGGGAAACTCATTTTTCATTTGGGCAAGTGTAGTACTGATTCCTTTTGAAGCAGTCATCTTGCACCAAGCGGAAGCGGTTATGAGAAAATTCTTAGTGTTTGAAACTGAAAAATGAACATTTGAATTTAGATCAAGGAGGTATTTTCTCCGTTCAGTCTTTAAAAGTCTAGACTCCCACATGCCTGTTATATGTATTTTATTTTGTCATCTTTTAGCATCCAATGTGGCAAGCATGGGACCTTGCACTGGACCTGTGTCTAGCTCAGCTACCAGCCATCTTGGAAACAGAAGATAAATTTATTCATTCACCCTTCTTCGAGGAGCAACTGACAGCATTTCAAGTTTGGTTGACACTTGGGTCAGAGCAGCGCAGTCCTCCAGAACAACTTCCCATTGTTCTGCAGGTATATCATTCTGAGATCTAGAATGCTGGATTTGCACTGGATGAAGTGAAAGCCATGCAGACATCCTTGAATTGTAATTTGGGATAATGTAAAGCAAAATTCTTCATTACTGTAATATTGATACTAGAGACATTTTAGCATTTTAAAATATAAATAGAAACAACTTGCTTGATTAGATTAAACAGTATTATTTTCCAGGCTATAAATTAAATCTGCAGTTGTAAAACAGTAGTGTATAAAGATTTACTTAATTCAGTAGTTAATATTAGTTTTGCATTTTGAGGATAATTCTTCCTTAATCAGTAATCTCCATGCCTCAGATACATGTGCTTAAGTATTTGTTTGGCTTTATAATAATTGTTATTATTCAGGAAATGAAACACACCCTCCTGCTTGCTAGACAAATGATGCACTATTGACCCACTGGAACTTCTGATAAAAAAAGAATTTTCCTGACAGCTATATGAAGTAGAGCCCATCTTCAAAGGTTAATAGTGGTTCAGCTAGTTAAGAAATTTCTTTCCATTTATGGAACCTGAAGGTTTTTTGCCATGTTCACAAAAGCCTGCTGTTAAACCCTATCCTTAGGTAAACTGAGTCCACATTCTTATGCCTTATTTCTTTAAGATTTATTGTACCTAATTGTACAGAACTATTAAATCATAGAAAATATGATGAAATTGATTTGTTCAAGTATTTTGTGACAGTGATGATGCAATGTATTGAAACCCTGGATGTTGTGTAAGGGAAGGGTGTAAGGTGTCACTTGTAGATTTTCCAGCTTTTTTACCAGACTCACCTTCTCCTCCACTCTTTTCTGAAAATGGAGACATGATGTAACAATTATATCTGTAGTGGAGAAAATGTCTCCCTAATTCCTGTCAACAGTTTTGATATTACAATAATTCTATTTGGTGTTGAGAAAATTGCAGTATAAACATTTAGGTTAACTTTATATAAAATTAGTTTCACTTTATAGGAAATACATTTTAAATTAAAGTCTTCCCATGGAAACTAGGTTTGTGGGACTGTGTGACAATAACGTTCAAAATGTAAAAATTATGTCTGATGATGAAGTTATGAAGTGAAGTTGTGAAATTGAGTATTTGTGATACTGTCACATATAATTGGATTTATTGAACTCCAACAACTTGTAACTACAAGCAGTTATAACACTGTCATTAATTCACGCACTCAGCTTCACATTACAGTATGTTCTAGGTCTTATATATCTTCACCAAGTCATTGTTTGATTACCATCTTCACTGCGTCAGTGGGTTATAGTATCCTCACAGCCAGCCATGTACTCAGCTCACCAGCTGCTGACTCAAGACTGGCTGATGTCAGTGTCCAAGTCACTGTATGACTGATGGTCAGTTTGACAGTTAGTCTTTGTGTCAAGCCACATCTGGGGCCTAAGACCAGATTTATGTTACTGTCAGACCCGTGTGGTTTTGTTGATGTGGGGCTCCCACTCTAAGGAGAGGATGGGTTGTGTTAGTAGTTCATGTCATCTACTTGTGTATTTACAGTTTTACATGTTGGCATGGTACATGGACAGTCAGTTGTCAGGAGTCTGGTTGTTTGTGGATACTTACTGTTTACAGTTTTGCATGTAACTCTAGTATATATTGTGTGTGTTTACTGTACATAAGGCCTCTGTCAGTCTAGGCTTGGTACAACCAGACATACCCTAACTCTTGTAGCTCATGTTACAGTGGCTGTCTATTCACTTGAATGGTCATACTCTTGACCACCGCCAAGCTTAAGTCTCTTATATTCATCATAGCATGTTTAACGGCTGCTGCTATCTTAGATTTGTATGTCATGTGACTGAATACAAACCTTTTATCCCACATAAGTAACAAATTGGTCACTCAGAAAAGTTATCTAGTGATGACCATAATAGATTACCAGTCATATTGGTATATTTGAATGTCATGCCAGCCATTTTACACTCAAAATAATATTTATGTTTATGGTGATTTTAGTACTGTATCTGGAAGTATATTCTTTCAGTTGCTGAATTTTGTGGGTTCTTGTGAAAGTGGAAATATTTTACAAGACAAAAGAGGACTGCTTAGGCAGTATTGAAGCAAAAGTGTATAAAAATAAGTTTAATTTGCATGTATTCTGCTTGTTGGATTTGAGGTTCTCAATGCGATGACTGTGCACTGTGTGGTCTTCTGGGTTGTAATGCCATGTAGTGCAGAGAGATCGAAACTTTTCAGAGGTAGATATTGCCTCCATCTTCTGGGTCAAGAAAGTAAAGCAAGAATCCTGCAGAAGCAAGCTACAGTTTGAGACCAGTTCAGCTTGCGGCCTATGTCTGCTGTTGCTTGTCTTACTTTTTGACCCTGAAGGTAGAGATGATATATGCCTCTAAATATCAGACTCTGAACTACATTGTGTTACAGCCTAGAACAGTGTACTTTTGAAATATTCCTCCTGTTTCTGGTCTGGTATCTCATCTCAGTGCACAAAAAAGTAGATGTATGCCTTACATTTACAGAGATATCTGCATTTAAGTTTCTTGATGTAAGGTTTTCTGGAATTTAAATTTAATTTTGTTCTCACTATATGATATAGGTACTGCTGAGTCAAGTGCACAGACTGAGAGCACTTGAGCTGCTGGGCAAGTTCCTGGATCTGGGTCCCTGGGCAGTGAACCTGGCATTGTCAGTCGGCATATTTCCCTATGTGCTGAAGTTGCTACAGAGCTCTGCAAGAGAGCTCAGGCCACTCCTTGTTTTCATCTGGGCCAAAATTTTGGCTGTAGATAGTGTAAGTTCCTACTTTTCTGAGGTCCTACTTGAAAGGCAGTGATTTCCTATACCTTTGCACCATTGCAAATGTAGTATCATGACTTAAAATGGGTTAGCCTAACAGAAGACCTCGAGGTAGGACTGTAAATTTATGTCTTATGTAATCAAGGTAAATGTAGTAAATACATTCATACGTGTATACTGATCATTAGTTTTTGTGCGTTTCTATTCCGATAAGGAGGGATGTGCAAACAGGAATTTTGAAACTTGAATAGACTCAACCTTCACTGTAATTATGATATTGAACTTCAAGTATTCTACTGGTTTTTAATCTTTGAAACATTAAATTATAAACAAATACTATAGTGCAGTTTGTATAATTTCAATAGCATATACCCTGGGTATTAGACACACAGCTTAATATTCTTGAATGATGGTTATCAGCACAAAATATTGCTAATTGTTAAAGTGTCTTCTTCCTATCATAAATAACATTTTTGACACCCACATGGAAGTGGTATATCAGACATAAAAATTCAGACTTTATCTCAAAATGAACTTGTTTAACCCCTTCAGTGGTTCCTTAAAATACAATTTATGTTCCATAGTATACAACATACATTATCATTGCCTGCAGAAAGCAGAGACCAGTGATTCGATATGTGCTGCTGTCTTCTGAGAAATATAAAAGCCTGCATAAAAAAGCTCTTACATACCCCAGAACATCAGAATGTAACCAACACCAGAGCACTGAACCCATAAAGCTTTTTGTGGTACACTATTTATAACAGAAAGTAAATCAAAGAAATGGTCTGGGAATACAAAAGAAGAGGTGAAACTTCTAGTAGTTTGAATTTCTAATTGTTAACACATCCCTCCTTATAAATAATTTTACACAATAATGTTCTGAAAGGTCGAAATATAATTCTTTGTCTTTTACTTTTAGACATGTCAGGCTGATTTAGTCAGGGATAATGGACACAAATATTTTCTCTCCATCCTTCAAGATCCTTCAATGCCGGTAAGTATGCAAGTAATAAACAGAAGTTTAAGATCACTTTTCATTTCTATATTAAAACAAATAATGGAACATAAAACTATATAAACTTAATTTGAGTTTGATAGCTGTAGCCAAACCTAAGTGGTACTATCTTCCTAACCAAGTTCTTGCATTTGTTATCTTCTTCTTCTTCCCCCCCCCCNTGAACCTTTGTGTTTTATTACCAGATAGTTTATTTATTGATCATTTTTTCTTCCATTCTCATTTTTACCTGTATTTAAACCTATGTGGAATAATTTGTGCTTTCCATTGCATTTTCTTTATTATCTGACTGTCTGACTATAGCATCACGTACTCCGGCTGATCTGTGGCAAATATGTTGGACATAATTGTTTGATAAGTTCAGTGAGTCATGTTACTATATTGTATATACTCATAAATCTGTCCCCATCTAACACCAGGTTTTTGTGGTACACAGTTTCAACATACATAGTTCAGATCAGTTTAACTACTGTTGCTACTGCTGTTAATAGCTTCACTTTTGTACCAGTACTATTTTCCCTGTCTTATCTTTTCTCTTAGATATGTTGGACATGTGGACATTCATGTCTGACTAATGCAAGGTATTGAGAATAAAGTAATTATATCTCAGAAAGCATTTATTGTACACATTTATGGGTTACACAATTACAAAGGGAAACTGTCGAAGTTTTTTTCTGAGTATATAACTTTCTCAATAAATTTCACTGTTGGCTCCCTTCATGAGACGACAAATATCCAGGCAATATTCAGCTTCATTCCACATTGCTTGAAGCATGTTTGGTGTTACTGTAGCCGCAGCATCCGTAATGCAAGCTTTCAGGTGTTGAAGGTCATTGATCCTGACCTGGTAGACAATGTTCTTCACATAACTCCACAAGAAAAAATCCAATGGAGTTAAATCTGGTGACCTAGGACCAAGCAATTGGTACATCTCTGCCGATCCATCTCTCGATCCAGGTGATTCCTAACGTGATGGCAGAAATATGATGGTGTCCCATCTTAGTTGAGGATAGTTTGAGGTTGTAATTGGTACAGCGCATAGAGCTGCTGCATATCCAAGTACAGACATCCAGTCACAGTCTTTTCTGAAAAGAAAAATGGTCCAGTCAACTTGTGAATTAACCTTTCCCCAACTCACATGTGACATGTGGATTTTGACTGCCCCAAATCCTGCAGTTGTACCTGTTTACAACTTCACTGACATGGAACATGGCCTCATCCGAGAAGCACACTTGGTGGAGGAAACTGGATGACATGTAAGTTCTTTCTAACATGTCCACAGCAAAGTTTGTGCGTGCAACTGGTCACTCAGTTTTAGTGCGTGAATCATTTCATTCTTGTATGCTATTAGACAGAACCTTTTGTGTGGCACATCATGCACTCTTGAATGTGGAATTTGTAACCGATAGCTAGCAGCACAAATTGATTTGTACGGACTTCACTGGACTGCCTCTCTAATGAAATTGACATCTTCTTCACAGGTCCATGTCTTTCCAGGAGATTTTATATGCAACAGCCTACCTGTAGTACTCAATTTGTTGTACCAGAACTGAAAGCTTTTCTGTGTAGTAGGTTGATGTTCATATTGGATACTAAAATGATGTTGGCCAGCCATAAGAGATTGCAACTGTGCTATCCACAACGCTCATTGAATCCATTCCTGTGGTGTCAACATTGTTAGTGAGCTTGCCGAAGGTCACCAGCTGGCGCATGCACATAAGCCAGACATGAAAAAGAAACTTTCACAGTTTTTCTTTCTGATGACATCAACCAGATACGTGTATTAGAATTATTTTCTGAGATATATTTATCTTTTATTTTGGATACCTTTCATCCAGACACTCTGTATTGTGTAATTACAGAATATACCTCAAAAGCAAGTCGTATCTCCAGAAATCTATAACAGGATAAATTGTATGCCAGTGTGATGCTGATGGCAATGAAAGTGAAATATTTTAATATCAATATGATACTGTATGAATAACAGTTTTAACATGTGCCAAAGTTACCAAATGTTTATAAGCTCAGAAATCATTGAATTACATTAATTTTTTATGCATGCCTCTTAAGTTTATAAATATAAGATATCCCCTCTTTCTGGATGAAAGTAAAATGACCTCATCTTATTGTTCAGTGATCAAAGTATTTAAAATCTGAAGAACATGTTATGTTGTGATTTTACACAGTGACTCCCAGTTTGTCCTTAGTTTAGTGATATCAAATTAAAAATGTAGCTCGAATTTATGTTCAGCAACAAAGAAGTTGGGGAGCATGCAATTTCACTGTATAGAACACTTCATTTTCCATATTTTCCTAAACAGTATTATTCAAAATTATTCAATACTGCTCTTATTTTTGCAGTGTAATTTTACTGTTCTGCTTCTGAAGAGAACAACAGTAGTTTAATATTGTGTAATTTAGGCCTGTTAATTTTGCAGGGTGAGGACAGGACATTGGCTGCATTTGTTCTGGCAAGCATTGTTAATGAGTACTTACAAGGACAGGAGGTGGCACTACAAGGAAGCCTTGTGTCCATCTGTCTAGAGCAGCTAGGAGATCAGAATCCTCTTCTTCGTCAGTGGCTAGCTATTTGTCTTGGCAGACTGTGGACAAACTATGATAAAGCTCGGTGGTGTGGTGTACGAGATATTGCACATGAAAAGCTCTACTCTCTACTGTCAGATCCAGTACCAGAGGTAACATGAAAATATTTTCACTAGCAGTATCTGCAGTAATGCTTGCATTTATCAACTGAAATATTTTTATTGACCAACTTTACGGTTTTTAAAATGTGATAACGCTTGTGAATTTGGTTCCAAGGTGCTGCAAACGTTGCTTTTTCTGTGTGATTATGTAATACTCTTAAGGAGAAACCATATATTACAAGTAGCATTTGAGGTTCTGTTTACAGTGGTTGTGAAAATTTCTGTCTTCTCAGATGCAACACCTTGTAGTCCATTGACATCTTTGACCCTGAATATGGAGGTGACATGTTCTTCTGAAACAGTACTTTCAGTGGATTACACATCATTATATCTCAGGGGATCAGATTCTTTGTAAATTAGAAGTGTTTGAAAACTTATTTCCCAGGAAAATATTTGAACGCAAAAAGGATGCAGTGAATGTGATGTTTAGGATATCGCATTCATTCATTCATTCATTTTTTATTTGTTCACAAGATCTACATTTGGCGATATTGCCTCAGCTGTAGAATACGTCCATAGTTTAAATATCCATAAGAACAGTGTCATAACAGAATACAGAAAGCACAAATATGCAAATGTAAGTTTAAAAACATCCAGAGAACCACGTTATAACAAAAAAACCTCATATACATAATAACAGTTCACCATCATAACAGTAATTGTAAACACGCAAAGCACATGATAATGCTACCTATTTAACTTAAATTTCATCAATACGATTTAAGGTATCTAAAATATCTTTGAGGACAAGGTCCCATAATATACAAACAACTTATAGTACTAATAGATACAAAATAAAACATTTATTTTATTCACATTTCATTAAAATTGGTTCCAGATTCAGACATACTGCAATTATGATTTAAATCTTGTATCTTAAAAATATAATATAATATTACATTTAATCCTTGTAGTTAAAGTATTCATCCATGGTATAAAATGAGTGAAGAAATAAAAAAGTTTTTAATACTAATTTAAATTTTTCAGCATTTTGAGATATCCCCTTTATTGTGGCTGGTAAGCCATTAAACACCTTTATTCCTGCATAATAGGCCCCCTTCTGAAAAACTGTCAGTTGAGATAGCAGTTGATGTAAATCATGTTTTGCCCTAGTATTAACATTGTGAACAGCAGAGTTTGTTTCAAAATAATGTCTATTATTGATCACAAATAAAGAGAGTGAATAAATATATTGTGATTTTAGTGTTAATATTTTTAGTTCTCTAAAATGTTTCCTACATGACTCTCTACTTGTAATTGTGATTTATATGGCTCAGCTAGCATTGTTAGGGTAATGACATCTGAGATGCTGTTGTGGGCTGAATATGTAGCTCATATTAGGGAGGCAAGATATGTAAGGAAGGTTATTGAGTTCTGGGATGTGATGCCATGTTGTTTGGGAGATTTACCAGTATTTCTCTGAGAAGTTGTTATGTATTGCCTTGGCAACATGGCATCACATCCCAGAATATGGTTACTTCATAATTAACTGCTATGACAACCAAATTGCACATATGTTAGGGAGTTTGATGGATGAAACCTCTTGGAAAGTGTCCTGTTGAAAGATCAAGAAGGAGACTGAAGTATAATATCAAGATGAATTGTGGGAAATAGGCTGTGATTGTGTCCATTTTCTGGATTTAGTTTTAACGGTGTTCAACTTCAGGTTCTTGCCAGAAAGTTGGTGGGTGGTCAGTTTATAATTGCTATCTGCATTTAGTGTGCAAGGAAACAGTATATAATTAGTAGGCATGTGTGAGTCATAATTTTGAGAATGGATCAAGAGAAAAATATTGTGCTCTCAATTAAAATGTTGATTTTTCAGTATCGAACTTCAAGAATTTTCAGATAACTGCTTTTGCTTTGCACAGTAGCATACAGAATCTCGGATCTATACAGCCATTCATCTGTACATCTTCGTGGCAGAGTGCTTAGTTAGTTAAGATCAACGACAGCTTTACCACTTTACTAGTAGCATACAAAATTACTTGATCCATTAGAATCATTGTAACTGGCAGGGCCATTGGGAATTGTTTTGAGCACAATAGACCACTGTAGGTCGCGGTGCAAGGGCCGAGAAGGCCCACCCCTTATACATTCAATAGTTTGTTTTAATATACTGATTGAATTGAGAATTAGAGGATCCAGAAACAACCTATGAACTACCATCCAATAAGATAATCACCTGCCTGGCTGCATAAGATACTCTTACACAGTATGACATGTGAAGCTGAAACAGGTGATCCTTAATGGCCTAACTTCATGACAGAATGTGGTGATTGTGATGGTTACAGGTCAGAGCAGCTGCAGTCTATGCACTTGGGACATTTATCAGCTCGGTGACAGAACGTAGTGAACATGCCAACAACATTGATCACAGCATCGCCATGACTCTCATTAACACCGTCTCTCACGACATGAGTCCACTTGTGAGGAAGGTGGGCCCAACCCTGTTCTTCTCATTTATAAATCACCTACAGATATATAATTGTAGAGTTGTACATAGCATAGCAGAGTATAATTTTAAAATGGAGCTTGAGTGATTATATTGTGCTGAAGTGGAGAAGGTTGAACTGGTTGAGGGCAGGATGAGCTGCCATCTGTGAAGTGATCCTATGTAGTCTATAGAAGGTTACCAACATTTCAAATGGATGTTGGGAAAATTCTACCAGACTACACAGCATTACATTCCAGAAGATGGCACCTTCAATAGTCACCACTTTGAGAACCTCAGATCTCACATAGTTTAACCGTTCAGCGTGGTTTGACGTGTATGTTTCGTCAGGTATTTAAATCGTCTGCGGGGGTTCGACGTCTATGTTTCGTCCAGCTGCACACCTATGTTATAACGCCCATAATAATTGATGGTTTTGCTGTAGATTGTTAGATTTTTCACTGGCCTGTTGTCAGTAGAACAGAGTATAATAAGCCACGAGTTTAGCTGCGCTAAGTCATCGTTACATATGCCTGTCTTGCAGCAAAGTTCCTGTTGCTTCTGGTAGAGGTTCCTCGTTCAAGCTGTTATGAATGGCGTGTTTTCTTTGCTATGAAGTTATAAACAGCAGAGACGTGATATGTGCTGTGTTTATAATATCATATTGCCCTGAGCTGGCCACACTAACACACTCAATTGGAATTCTTAGAAGAGGGATGTCCAAAAATTTATTCTTGCAAGATCGATTGATTTC